ACATCACAATGTTGACATGTCCATCCCTCAGTAATACTATATGGATGCTTTAGTATCAACGCAAGCTGGGTAACACAATCATGAAATTTAGGGCAATCCATAGACTTTTGCTAGAAGACTTACATAGAAGACTTTTGCATTCTTACGCGCCTTATCAGCCTTTATCAGTTGTAATCACTTCTATACTCAAATGTCTCCCATCCTCATACTTGTAATATGGATGCTTTGATGTAAATAGCGATCAGGTACGTCGAACGTTTGAGTTCTAAGCATCTTATCAGACTCAGTTGCTATCGCTTCCATTCATGTACCACCAATGTCCCGGGACCACCCCACATAACACTTGTAAGTATAGACGCTCTAGTACCAATATGAACGACAAAACGAAATTGGCGATGCTCGCTTTCTAGCCCCTCTTATCAGCTATTATCAGTCGTTATCAGTTCCTATCACGTACCACTTGTGTCCCCATCCCACCCCCTATAACATATGTAAGAACCATGGCGCTATCATTGCTGTGACCCGAGCTACGAATTTCCGGTCAAACACACACACACACACACACGGACACACCAACAGACACACTTAGCCGATTATATATAGTAGGATGTTCCATAAACCTAGTTTTGGGAACAACACTGGGCAGCCCAATCCTATCTGCTGCGTATGCGGGTAGGGTGTTACATTAATCAGTATCGCAGCATCATTAGAGCTCAATCCAGGCAGAAGTCATAGCAACGACTTCCTTCTGTCTGTGGACTCCAGAAGAAAATATGATGTGACACCCCTGTACATGAAGAAACAAAGTTGAAACTACCGCTTTAACCGCTTCAGTTTTCACGTCCGCAGCATGCTGCTGTCTGGCGCACACCCTTTCCTTGCGATCTCTTGCCTCAATACTCGCCTTTCCGCGCTCACTCTCGTCATTGTACTTAGTACAGCAAATTAGAAGGTGGCCCGACGTCTTATAATATACAATACCGCTCACAGAATGTGAAAAAATGACGGTGATTGACCGTCGCACCTATCAAAGACCGTCGCACTACCATAACTCCGCTGAAAGCAAATGAAACGGAAAAATTCAAACTCCTATAGATACGTCTCCTCACAACGAGTTCCAGGATGTGTTATGGGTCGGGATCGGTTAAGTAGGTCACCAGCTTTACCTTTTAAGCTGGGGCAAAATCCAATTCTGACCTCAAGGTAGAACACCATTCGTTAGATCCCATGTTTATGTGCACAGTAGTCTACCGCTCGCACACTCCTCCTTTTTTGATGCATTTTTATCCATGTTTCACAGTCGTTCCCGATGCGAACGAGCCCTTCAATTTTACGACATTTCCAAATTTTGAAAGCGTATTTCATCAAAGTCTGGAGGAAATACGACGAAACGGCTACAAGATCTTGAACTAGGTATGTAACTGCGCAACAACTTTGTTGTTTATTGGAATGCAGCAAAGCGGTTCTTACATAATTTAGCTCTGAATATCGGTATACGTCAAATTCTTCGAGCACAATCACTTTTCTTTTCTTTCCGAAATTGCGCTTAAGCGAAATGTATGACCAACGAATCGAATGGTTATTCCAAGATATGACATATTGTGCCGTATAATGGCAATAATGGCTTATGAACAAACGTTAAGGTGAACTAGATAAGCGACAATACCTCACCCTTTGAAAAAAATTTTACGGACAGAGAATAAAGAACTAGTTGAAATTCATACAGTTGTACTCGGCGCGATGAATGCTATCCGATGATATATAAGTTATCACCCGAAGACTACTTTGCTTTTTACTCGTTTTTTTCCTTCGTGATCGCTAGCCAATGACCAATCGCTAGCTGACCTCGTAATTACCCTACGCTGCGAGGGTCAATGCCTCGCGGTGTTATCACTCCTCTTCGAGGCATGTTCGGCTTCCGAATACCGCTAAGCGTCGTTTTTCTGAAGCCCCTTCAGATTCCCGTAGTTGGAAGGAGTGAGAAGCGATCCACTCTAGCTTAGGCCGTGGAACGCCAGCGAATCCTCCTGTGGCACAGCAATGCAACGTTACTGGAATGGCGCTTTGGGTTTTCAAATTATGCCGGATTGGGGCACGACTGGGAGCCCATTTCACACCTCACTTATTTGCATTCGTTCTTATTAGGATTGGTGTCGTATTTTTTTTTGATTTCCTCTTTTTTGCTAGTACCTTGATTTCATGGGGTTCCCCATTGGCCAGTCGTTGTATTCAGTTCCCTCAATTTATCTCATTTTGTCAACTTGATATGTACACGATAAAATATAAAGAATGACGAATTCGGGTTTGATCATCTCTTTTTTACTTATCAATCTTTTCCAAATTCTTTTTTTTTGCTGGTCATTGGAAAATGTTACGAATGGGAACTGTTGCCTAGTCTAGTCCATGAAAGGGTCAGTGGTAGGTCCACGTCGTTCAGCGGATAAATATTTCAAGCCTAGTTAGCATGGTTCTATATCTCAACCAGGGTCAACCGTCCGTTCGAACTGTTCGAACGAAGAGGTCGCATTTTGGTCGGAAGGGGGTCGCAATTTCGAGGACTGCCAGCCACAGGCGCGTGCATGGCGTATTCGAGGGCAAGACTTGCTTGTGCAGACCGCATTAGATTCGATTAATTATGCAGAGAGATACAGTTTTAGGCAAATTAGTTTTAGGCACATAAAATACACCTTGGTGCACAGATAAAAGTGAATCAGTGATACTGAGATCGCAAACTTATGAATTTCATAAAACAGCAGAATTCACGACATTTACAGTACCTGCGGGTTTGCAAGGGACGTCTATAAGTTGGTGCCTTGCGCTATAGTAACTTAAAAGATAATGAGTACAGTAGGTAACCTCGTAGGATGGAGCAATCGTGTCATAATTTTGAAAACCCAAAGCGCCATTCCAGTGACGTTGCATTGCTGTGCCACAGGAGGATTCGCTGGCGTTCCACGGCCTAAGCTAGAGTGGATCGCTTCTCACTCCTTCCAACTACGGGAATCTGAAGGGGCTTCAGAAAAACGACGCTTAGCGGTATTCAGAAGCCGAACATGCCTCGAAGAGGAGTGATAACACCGCGAGGCATTGACCCTCGCAGCGTAGGGTAATTACGAGGTCAGCTAGCGATTGGTCATTGGCTAGCGATCACGAAGGAAAAAAACGAGTAAAAAAAGTAGTCTTTGGGTAATAACTTATATATCATCGGATAGCATTCATCGCGCCGAGTACAACTGTATGAATTTCAACACTAGTTCTGTATTCTCTGTCCGTAAATTTTTTTCAAAGGGTGAGGTATTGTCTCTTATCTAGTTTACCTTAACGTTTGTTCATAAGCCACTATTGCAATTATACGGCACAATATGTCATATCCTTGGAATAACCATTCGATTCGCTGGTCATACACTTCGCCTAAGCGCAATTTCGGAAAGAAAAGAAAAGTGATTGTGCTCGAAGAATTTGACGTATACCGATATTCAGAGCTAAATTTATGTAAGAACCGCTTTGCTGCATTCCAATAAACAACAAAGTTGTTGCGCAGTTACATACCTAGTTCAAGATCTTGTAGCCGTTTCGTCGTATTTCCTCCAGACTTTGATGAAATACGCTTTCAAAATTTGGAAATGTCGTAAAATTGAAGGGCTCGTTCGCACCGGGGGGGGGCGGGGGGGGCCTGGGGGGGGGGGGCTCGTTCGCACCGGGAACGACTGTGAAACATGGATAAAAATGCATCAAAAAAGGAGGAGTGTGCGAGCGGTAGACTACTGTGCACATAAACATGGGATCTAACGAATGGTGTTCTACCTTGAGGTCAGAATTGGATTTTGCCCCAGCTTAAAAGGTAAAGCTGGTGACCTACTTAACCGATCCCGACCCATAACACATCCTGGAACTCGTTGTGAGGAGACGTATCTATAGGAGTTTAAATTTTTCCGTTTCATTCGCTTTCAGCGGAGTTATGGTAGTGCGACGGTCTTTGATAGGTGCGACGGTCAATCACCGTCATTTTTTCACATTCTGTGAGCGGTATTGTACTGCGCTGCATAATGAACTCTCAAGAAATTTCGTGAAAACTTGGATAGGAAGATGTTTTCCAAAATATCTACAGAGAAGAAATGTGTCAAATATAAAAGGGAATTCGAGTGTTAACACCAACTTCCCGCTTGAAACAGGATTTTTCTTGTTTATTTTTGGTTAAAAATCAGCTGGCCAAACGTCCAAAATTATAATCCACTTGGCATGTTTGATGTTCCTGCGGCGCCGTTTCAATTTTTACAAATATGCGAGTATTGCTAAGTAATTGGTTTTTTTAAGGTAATGCCAAGAGGACCACCTTTGTCAGACTTTGAAAAAGGACAAATGGACAAATCGTCTCGAAAAAGGGCCAAGGAGTGTCGAACCGTCAAATTGCGCGAGATTTGGGCAGAAGTCATCGTGCCATCAACAATTTTGTGAGAGATCCAACAGGATATGGTTCTAAAAAACACAGTGGACGCCCTTCTTCGCTTTGCGATCGAGATAAGAGACGAATTTTGAGAGAAGCTTCGAACTCGACAAAGTCAATCAAGTTTTCGTTGGACCTTAACGTGTCAAAGAATACTGTTTGGCGAGTGCTGAGAAGCTCAAACTTCATCCTTCCACGGAAAATGAGAAAGGCTCCATTTCTGACGCGACGCCATTGCGAGGAGAGAGTAGCCTTTGCCAAAAAATTCATTCGAACCGATTGGAGCAAGGTTTGCATTCCACCTGCTGCGCCTTTGAATCTTTTTGAGTCTTTCTCTCAATGTTTTTCTTTTTTGGGTTGTTTTGTGACGAGAAGAAATTCATCTGTGATGTTCTGTGATGTGATGTGATGGTCCGGACGGTAACCGCTTTTACTGGCACGACCTCAGGAAGGAAAAGATCTTTTTCTCAAGGCGGAACTTCAAAGGAGGAGGTACTATGGTTTGGGCGCAATTGCATCGACGGGACGCCTCAAACTGTGCTTTGTTCCAAAAAAGATGAGTTCATCCGGCTATCAAGTTGTCATAAGCCATGGCCTACTTCCCTTTTGGCGGCGGAATCGGGATGAAAATTTCATTTTCATGCAGGATAATGCACCCGTTCACGTCAGCAGAAGCAGTCGGGCTTTTTTCAGCCGTCATCAGATCCCCCTTCTTGCCCTGGCCGGCGAACAGTCCCGACCTAAACCCGATGGAAAACGTGTGGGGTTTCATTGTCCGAGGATTTACGCCAGTAATGCCCACTTTGAGAACGTCCGTGAGCTCAAGAAAGCCATCGTTGAAGCGTGGCATCAAGTCGACGAGAAGCTCATCGAAAACCTTTATAGGAGCATGGACAACCGTATTTTCCAGGTTATACAAAGAAATGGAGGTCCAGTAGACTATTAAATTAGTAAAATAGTGTTTTCTGTTGTTGTACGATTGTTGAGTAAGTTGCTTTATTCAGTGGAGTTATAATTTTGGGACGTCGGCCAAGCGGCATTTTCAACAAAAATAAAGAGAAAAAATTTCCGTGTATCTAAGCTGGAAGTTGGTGTTAACACTCGAATTCCCTTTTATATTTGACACATTTTTTCTCTGAAGACTTTTTGGAAAACATCTTCCTATTCAAGTTTTCACGAGAATTTCTAGGTGGAGTTATAATTATGGGACGCAGTGTATTTCCAAGAAAACCTTTTCCTTTTTTTTCTTCACTGTCGGTTCCTTCCACACTAACTTTAGTATTCGTGTACAATAACCGCACCAGTTAGATCAAGGGAATGCCTTTTCACAACATTAATCTTTATTTTTGACACTTCTTCAGAAATCAAGGTAGCCTTGGCCCTGAGGATGGCCCAAATGATGAATGAGATGAAGCTTGTCATGAGCTGTGCTTCGAGTTACATACATGCTTACTTACTACTTACCAAACCACCTGACGCAGAAGTTAACACAATCCCAGTCCGATTTCCCACATAGAAGGTGCCCCTGGTCATACCTTCGTCACTTCACATTTGGTCACAAAACAACACTATTACTGAACATGAAGTTGTTCAGTTACGAATTTTCTACACTTTTTGTTTATCTAGTTATGAATAGGTTTTCGGAGGAACAAAGTAGGAAGCCTCATTCTTTTGCACAGTCACCCAGCGGAAGACCAATCCATTTGCCAGAGGTGCAGGTTGCGGTGGTTTTGCCTGAAAAGAAAACTGTTAGCGTTTTTAAAAACTGGGCCTTGCAATTGGCACTCACTAAGTTGTAATGAACCAATTCCCTCCGTGTACGCAATTACAGAATTCCTGTATCAGATGCCAAGAAATTCCTCACCGCTTGTTTTAAGACCAGTGTGACATTTGAGTGTCGCAACTGTACCCTCTTCAAGTGGTGAAGTTGGTAGAACTTGGATGGTATTACTGGAGGTGTACATTAGACGAGCAGTTGGACTGTCCGGTATCGGAGGGCAGGTAGCATCTGCACACAGGAAAACTTATGCATACAATCATGACCGCAACAATATTACACTTGAGATATTCATTATTATTAAAATTTCTCACAGCATTCCCTGATGAGCGTTAGTACCA